AGTCCATCCCTCCGTCCCCCCCCCCCCTTCCTCTTCCTCCTCTTGCGGCAAGACAGGCGGTTGAAGGTTTGGTTAGATGGTTCAGCGGAGATTATCCGACACAGTCCCAGAAGGGAGGGGCTGCTGCACTGTCGAGCCGAGGCGGGCTGCGTAGCGTTAGATTTAGAGGGTTCGTTTATAACTGCCACGAATACTAATTGACTAGCCCTGAGAGTTGATACAGGAAATTCTTTGCGTTCAGATTTTGCAATTCCGGCAGTACGGCCTGGCTCCAAGAATCGTACCCTCAATCCGAGCGGCCGCAAGTAATCCATCGAAAACACCCCAAATCCAAAAGCACTGCTGTAATCTATTCTGTAAATTCCAAAAACATGGCGGTTCGATGTATACCTCATTGATGTAAACAGGCGAAACCAACGAATGTGGTTCATGCGGTTGCAGGTGAGTCTTTTAGTTCAGGGTTGTTGTGCCCTGTTGGCATGCCTGGGGCTTTGAAACTTCAGGTGAAAGCTTACAACACGACTCGAAGGTCCAAATCCAGAAGCATATAGGCAGCGACATAGGGGTCCAAAGAGAGTAGGTCTCTCTGCAAACAAGGACCCGCCAAGGGACCCTAATTTTTCCAACCCCCCGACGTACTACACCTGGAGTTGGGACTCCAATCACGTTTCTTGACTCCAAACAAATCTGTCTGCTCTCAACCAGGGCTTGCTCTAGGGCACCTGCGCCAGCCTGCGGACTTTGTACTAGTTACTATTCACCCTGGGATGGAGTTTCCAAAATACATCCTGAAGCCCTAAGCCGAAAAACTTGAACACGGAAACACATCTAAAATCCTGGGCCGGGCATTGTCAGAAAGATTAGACATGCGCTCCAAGAGCAGTGCTGCCGAACACCCTCTGTCCTTTTGCAGCATCCAGGCGCGTGAAGCCGTAGTACGTCACCATTCCATACAGCAACTGCCTGACGAGGACCCACTCCTGCGGCGTCGAAATTTGTGGAGTTTAGGCCTTATAGCATTAAGTTCTAACATTAGGGTCTCAGGAGTTTAGGGATTTCTGGGTCGGTTTAGGTTGAAACCAACACAAAGATGTGTTTTGGCTTGCGCTGACTTTCTCATCCCACCCTACCGGAGGCATGTAGAATCCATGAAGCAGTCAACGTGGCAAGCCTTGTGCACGATGGTGCCGGCATAAAAAACAGCAAGTTTGGGGTCTGGACAAAGAGGCAGACGGACATAGGTTGACAGAAGGCGCGACGGAGAATGGGCGGATGGATAGACACCGACACAAACGGACTGACAAATAGACCGATGCATAGCGCGAAAGAAGAACTGATGGGCATATAAACGAATCAAGATATCAGACTCAGAAATTTCAGGTCGAGTCACAGGTATAGATGCTTGAACAGAGAGAGTAGGCGAAATGAAAACAGAAACAGAAACCGAGACAGAGACGCGGAACCGCAGACACAAATGGGGGATGAGATGAAGAGAGCGATGCAGACGAAAACTGGGCCTCAATGTAGATGTAGATGCAGACGGCAGTTACATTCCACAGAGAACATGGAGCCCAGAACCAAGCGTCGGCAGCCCAATTTGCGAAATGCATCAGTCCCAAGCTCGACCTCTGGGACTCTGGGACCTAAACTGATATCAGTCGCGAGGCGGCAATCCGGTAATTATGGAAGCAACAAAGACCAATACTAGCATACGCGGTGCACACCTACAGGAGTGCGCACGCATACGCACACACCCCACACGAGGTTAAAAGGCTTAAGCAAGGTAGGGCGAGAGAGAACGAACCGTACCCCCCAAACCCAATTAAACGCTGGTCTCTCAAGAGAGAAAGAGGATCAGACTTTTGCGCAGGCGTCCCGGCGCTTCGCCAAGAGCGCCACAGGGCTGATGCCCATCCAATACCTGTCAAGGATTTTGCCACTGGGGGTCTTTATAACACCTGGAAAAGAATTTTACAACGGAGGGTGAGGTGGTCTGCTTCAGTATGGAGATTTGGGGGTGTACAAGGCTTCGGCTTCGAACGCTTGCATTTTGATGTGGGGGTATGTTACTCATCAGCTCTCATGGGCTGCACGGCTGCCACCCCCGAACCCTGCACAGCCTGGGCCTGAAAAAACCCGGCACAAAGAAGCAAGCCAAGAGCACAAGCTGAAGCGCGGGGTGTAGATAAAGAACCTGGCGCTCAACGCTTGGGTCTCGGAAGCGCTCGGGTGAAGGGTCTCAACTTGAAACAAGTACAAAAACAGATAAAACTGTTCTTGGCACAGGAAACTCAGAAACTCTTGGGGACACAGGGACAGAGGACATTTTAAGAAGGGCCAAAGCCTAAGAGATGGCCGGTCTGCAAGGGTGCTGAGTCGTCTGAATCCTAAAACCACCTAAAACCCCTGAGCCAGCCGCTCAACGCGTTTCCCCTCCTGGAAACAACATCCCAAGCCGGGCAGCGAGGAGAGTTTCGTCCGATCTAGATCCAAGTTCCTGAGACCGCCACATAACGATCTCTGGGTCGAAAAGTGGCTCGAACAGCTAGATTTGTACTATAGCCCTGGAGGATGGTGAGAAGATGTAGGGTCTCTATCTGCCTGCCTGAGCAAGAAGCAATGCAAAAAGAACATCAACATACGACGATCTTGCAACTCGTTTCTGGTTTAGGGTTGGGGTTGAGGCTTTTGGAAAACTTTAGGCCTAAACCGTACACAGTCCAGCGCGGGCTGCAGGTCTACAGGGTTTCTGGATTATAGCTGACACGGTGGTTGAGAAGGCTTTCCGGGGCATTGCCGGTACTGCAGTTCAGAGCTCGCCTCCCAGTGTTAAGGGCTTTAAGGATCTCTGTTATGGTCTAGATAGACTTTGGGCCCATGGTGCGGTTGCTGGGAGGGCCAGTGCCAAAAGCTGGGGTTGGGCCCGGAATTTTGAGGATGGACACAACCCAGAAAACAGCCCAGAGTGGTGGGAGGGCGGGCTTCACAGCGGGCTCCTGCGGGGGGCTGTACCTTTTGGAGGGTCTCTTCCACACAAGGCCTTTGTAAAGCAATCGATCTTTGGCTCCGGATTTTGGGATCTGACGAAAGCAAGGCCAAGCAAGGAAAGTTGAAGCGACCAGGACGGTAAGAAGTTCACTCGTGTTAAGGATCGAGCCGTAAGTTTTGGTGCTGCTAGATGAGCTGTTCTTCTGCAAGCCTTGATATTGAAACGAAACTTACGTCTTCAAGGGTGCACACTGCGCGCGCTTGTTTGAAAGATCCCATGTTTGTGTCGTCTTACAAAAGTATCACTACGTCAGACTTCTCATAACTATTCCAACGAGGCCAGCTACTCCGAGTCTTAGAACGGCCGCAACATCCGTGGCATCTTCAGCGGCACAGCGGCAGCGGCAGCGGCGGCAGGAGTACTAGCAGTCGTCGTCGCCGTCGTCTTCGTCGTTTGAAGTAACGTTAATGTTCATGCTGCTTCCTTTGTTGGGATGTAGAACAACGTTCGACAAGCAATCTTCCGAGCGACCGTCGCTACACATTCTCAGCCTCAAACCTGCTTTGGGGGTGGGGATCGTGTCGGCGGCAATGTTATGGCACTGCATGCCTGAGGGCGTAGGGACACTAAGTTGCACAGGATTGAGTCCTCTTAGCCAGACCCAGGCGCGTGTGAACGTCATCGACGTCGTTATGCCAGCGGTGGTGGATCTTCATGTGAGCGATGCTGTAGCTGTTCCTAAGCATGCCCAGTGTTTCTGAAACCCTGCGTTGATCGCCACCATCGCTTCAAGTACGCTCCTTCATGAGACGGCCAAAGGGATCCCCTGAAAGCATGAAAGCACCAAAAAGACTCCGACACGGGTCGTCAAACCAAGGGACGGAACCACGCCGTAGAATGGGCCGACCCACCACTCCCACCTCGCCAGCAGGACTCTCAGATTGGCCTCTGAAACTTATGTAAAACCAAAACCCCAACACCAAAGCCCTTCAGGGTGCTTCTGGTCATGCCAGCTACTGAAATGCAATCATCCGCAGAGGTCAAAGCTTTCGAGGAAGCAAGCGTTATGGTGTCGGCTCTTGTCGCTTCGTCCTTAGACGGTATGTTCGGGGCTTGGAAACCTTACAAGCCTATCATTGAGGCACGCATAACGCTTTCGGACTTGCAGCATGAGGGTCTTGTGGGGCAGGGTTTAAGGACTCCGGCCCAGGATTTCGGACTGTTATCGGACAAACTGCCTTACCTTTATTTGATGATGATGCATGTAGAGTAAGACTCTTGAACATGAGTTCTACCAGGCTACTGGAGGCTGAGAGACCCGACTAAAGTCTCACTCTGCGGTCTACGAAGAATCCCAACACCCTGAAACGCAAACCCAAGAAGGAGAACCTGTATCGCCAAATCCGAACCATAGTCGAAAATGGTATACTTGTGCAAGGACACGAAGGGAGGATCTGCCAAATATTCAGCCCCGTATCTTTTAGGTTCGAGCCTAACTTTTGAAATCACGCAGGAACACAAGCAACAATGCAAAGCTGGAGATTGGAGAACAAGCAAAGAAGCAAATCTCGTTTTGCCAGGGCGCACGTAGTTCATCGGCCAGAGAGCCTTGCGGAAGAGGCCTGTGTGAGCCTCGTAGGGCATTCAAGGATCCCTCCAAGCCTCTCTAAGTCCCTGTACAACCCCGTATAAACAAGGATTCTATGAAGGTTCGTTGCGAAGTTTAGAGGGGTTTAAGGGCTTCAGGGTTCTTCGAGGGATCCTTGAAGGGCTTCTGCAGGGGAGCTATGTAGGTTCGACATGGTTGGACTAAGGCTATGGCTTTGAGCTGTTATGGTTATATGGCTTTTACAACTTTAGGATGCTAGGTTAAGGTTTAGGCTTTAGAATTCTTTACAGTTCAGTGCTCGGGAATAAGGTGTCCGGTATCGCATTTAAGGTTAGGATGCTTCCCTCGCGTTTGCACGAACTTCAAGGTGTGCTGCGATTGTGTGGGGGGATAGATCATACGAGTTGTGGCACTAATGGGGGGAGTATGAGCGTGCGAGTCGCAAGTTTTGTATGCGGCCTCACAAGACACGGCTTGCCCTGATCGCTGAGCCGCTAGGTGCAGTTCAGGTTTCGGCTATGCAGGGGGGTTTACAGCTTTACAGCGTCTGGTTCAGGATTTGGGGTCCAGATTCCTCTACATCCCTAAGTTCCGGGGATGTCGACTGAGTCTTCAGCATTACGTCTTATGCTCAATTGGCTACGCTCTAGGCTTTCGTAGACTCTACAAGCTATCGGAGCATCGGTTCAGGAGAGGGATGCGGCGCCACAGTGCTGTCCTAAACTACGGACCCCGAAATCTCAATGCTGGATCGTATCCTGAACGAAGAGCCCAATCCTTCTTGAATATAGGGGAGTCCTCAGCATGATTTGAGGTATGCTGCTTGATAGAAGCTGGGCTCTCTGGGCAAGCCCGAAACCGCAGCGGCCGGAAGTGATGTTGGGTGTTGCCTGAAGTTTCCGTCTGCAAAGAAGACGGTAACGTAGGGGCTCCCTCATTACGGTTTGCGCGGCATGTATTCTCATTAGATCGTCAGGTGCTCGAAGTAATTCCTACAATCCCCGGTATGGGCGCCTTTTGAGGGGTACATAAAGGGCTTTGCAAGGTTGTTGAGGGCTGTATGAGGGTTCCACCACAGCTTCATTTCGTATGAGAGATTACGGCCCAATTACGGCTTCCAGTAGAATGTTTCTGGCTGCATGCGAGTTCAGGGCGCCTAGCTTCACATGTCGTACAAACTTCGTAATAAGGAGTTCACAAAAAGGGCTTCCGGAGCTGTAAAGGATGTCAAAACCGCGCCCGAACTGAGCCGGGAAGCATGACCCTCCTTGTGCACCAACGAGTGCACATGGCCAAAGATGCGGAATCGAGGTCCCGTGCGAAGTGTGTGATAGATGACCTGGGAAGCATCCTATGACAGCCAGGCACACACCTTGCATAATTTAACTAATACCCACCGCAACAACAATAGCAGCAGGAGTCGTCGTCCGCCTGCTCGTCCTCGTCGTCGTAATCGTCATCGTCGTCCTCCTCCACCCCCTTTCTCCTCATCCTCCTCCACCTCCACCTCCAGCAGCAGCGGCAGCAGCAGCGGCAGCAGCAGCAGCAGCAGTATATCTGTATGCATACTCAAGTACATGATGCTTGCTACGTTGATTTGCTTGTTCAAAAATACACAGAATATAGTATGTGCGTGCTTACAAACGTACACACATAGGAAAGAATCTATCTCTATCTCTATATGTATATATATTATATATACACACACACTTATTCTTTTTATTTCTTCACTTATTTATACTGACTGTTCGGGAAGCATGGCTTGGAGGCGAGGGAATCAAGGGAATCGGCTTTGGAGGGCAGGGAATATGAAAGGTGCTGAGGTTGAGGGTTTAGTGGTCTAAACCAAACTATTTTTGTCTTCGTGAGGGTATGCTTTGTCTTCGCGGCCTGGGGACAGGTCCACCTGGGCGAGTCTCACAATCACCAACAGATCCGACCCCACAAACGCTACGCCCGAAGCACACCTGATATACAGCCTCGCAAACCAGCAAAACCGTCGACCTGCAATCATGCTGGGCCGTCGGCCATCGTGGAGAACTCAAAGCCTCGGCAAGGAGCATGCCGCACACAACTCAGGGTCATGAGGGTCTCTGATTGAAGGGTCTGGGGCACTAAGCTTGTGGCTTCTAGCTTGCTCTTCCTGCTTGACTCACCGTCTCGTAGCTCTGCTTTAGATTTCCAGTTTGGGCTTCAGGCTTCGGAGCATTGGACCCCCAACACCCAGTTCCTAATTCCAGCCGTGCTTGGCAATCGCTGTAGGTGTGGGTGGGAGGGTGTTTGGTGAAGACCATACGAAGATATGCCATGATATGAGAAGATACGATATGATATGTATATAGTAGATGCTTTCTATGGACAAAGTGGCTGAACCAGTGATCCTGAAACAGAGCCTGAACACTAAGGTCCTTTATGACGACACCTAATTAAGGGAACAGCAACCAAAAATAAGCGACCTGTACAGATAGACGTACGATAGCAGGCGCTTCCTTAGAGCCAGCGCAATAGCATTCCAGCACAATCTGCAATCCCCAAGTGAACTGCGCTTGGGCACAAGCATATTTCGAATTTAAGGCCTAGGATTTGAAGGAGGTTCCTACAGACTCTCGAGGTCACTGCTTCGATTCACGGAAATACTTGGTTTAAGGCTCAAGATTTTGGGGTCACGGTTCGAGTGTATGCATGCTGGAAGTGAATGTCAGATCTTGCCACCACAACACTCGGCGCTTCGGCCCGACTTAGGCACTCCCCAATGAGTCCGTGGCCAAAGTTGGCATGTCGCCACATGGCCCAAAAGAACAGCACGGGAGTAACCTGAAGGAGGAGCCGGAGAAAATGAACAAAGTGGGGGAAGGAGCTTTCGGTTGGCAGTTTCGGTAGCAGTGCTTGTCATCGTTATGGCGGTACTCGCAACGGTAGCCTGTCGACGTCACATTGGATAATTGTGCTGTTTTCTGCAGAACCAACTGTAACCGTAGCCACAGTCAGAGGTATTGGAGACTCTTCACATTCCAACGCCCGCCAGACCATGTGGAGGCCAGATTTTGCGTGCCCACGGCCCTGAGGTTTACAACTACTCGGCCCAGAAAGGTACAACCGGATCCCAGGCACAACAAAGCTCAGACACCGAAACCACCAAAGTAGCCAAACTTCGGTCCGTGGAGAAACCGCAGCGACAGGCGGAGGACAGAGCGGTACCGGGGATCAGGGCGGCAGGGGACAGTAAAGGGACAAAGGTGAAAAATCCCTGGCAGAGCTGGAACAAGACATGCTCAGCACACCAAGCCAGCTTCCTGTCCCTAAGCCCCAGACCCAAGCTCAACCTCAAACCACAAACCCTGATCCTCGAAACTGAGCGTTATGCCAGACGCCTACATTCAAAGCCCATACAATTCAAGGAACAGTTCCTGCCAAAGCCAACCACGGCCTGCGAAAGCAAGCGATTCTGGGAATATTGTATAGAGTAGGCTTCTCATGTGGGGTTTCGGGTCTGGCTAGACCAAGGTGAGGGCGCGTGAAAAGTCCCCACCCATCTGGTTGATCATGGGTGTATTTTTCTGCAGAAAACCTATGTTATCGTTTAGAATTAGTCTCATCGCTTGACGGGTTCGCTCTTAAACCGAATATTGGCTTCCAGCTGTGACGGTCAAAGGTGTGAGGGTCTTCGGAACTAGTGTTTAGGTTTTGCAGGGTTGAGATAGGTGGGCGAAGCTCAGGATTTGGAATTCCGGGGTCTAATCCCAAACCTACACCCTATCCAGGGCGATAGAAGGTTTCGCCGTGGCTTAGCGATGCATGCTTTCAGCTCTTAAGTGCACGCTTTGGGCCCCGAAGACTTAACCAAAACCACCCCCCAAAACCCCCAACGTATGGGCCCCCAATTTGCCATTCCACTCTGCTGCGCAACAGCACAACATGCGGTACAGACCTCAGAAATCCCTTCGAATCATCCCGTCTTGTGGATGTTGGGACAGCGCGTCCAGGGCTTGATTCTGCTTCCTTGGATGTTGTCATGACACCAAGGTCGCCGACTTGGTAGCGGCCGTCCTGATTGAGGCCCGAAACATCGAGTTCGACTACACCCTGAGCCCAGATCCCTAAACACGAAACCCTAACCCCAGCTGCCAAGCGGCAGGTAGGAATGGTCTCGAGGATCCTTAAGGAGCAGCCGGCCCAGCGGCCTGCGCTGGAGGATTCAGGGCTTGCGGCACTCTGTAGGTTCTCACGACTTAGGTTGAGGATTTTGGTGGGAGGTTCAGGGTTCTGGGCTTTCAGTGTCTAGGGGTTCAGGCTTTCACTCTTTACGGCTGCCAGGACTTTTCGCGATCGCAGGCTTGAGGCTTCAGGGTCTATGATTTGGAGCTTCATCATGATAACGATGACGGTGACACTTAGTGCTACTTTGGTGACCTCGTTCCATTCACGGACCCGGTGAACAACCTTGCACATTCGCGCCCGCTGAAGCGGGTTTGGGCGACACACCCTTTCAGCCCGCAGCCCCAAAACACCAACACAGGCACCAGCGAATTCAACCTCGCTGAGACCCACACATGAAGGTTTAGCAGCCTTCCCTGGCAAGGTCCGGCATGCACATAGCTCCGCACACCTTACAAAATTTTGCCCTGAGCTTCACATAAGTTCAGGGCGTAAGGCTGAAGCAACTGAAGATCCTTGAATCCCTAAATCCTAACCCTCGAACCTAACTTCGAAACTAAACAAGCTTAACCCTTAAACCCTAAGCCTCACACTCCGCTGGGGCGCCTCGAAACGGATCGGATCAGCTCGGGAATGGCCGCTTTGAAACGTGCGAAGTTCCGGTGGTGCCTTACCAGATGATGATCCTGCGAAAAAAAATTACGCCCACTGATATTCATTCTTACCAACGCAAAAAAGTACAAGCTTGTGATCAGAATCATACAATAACTTGCAGCAGCAGTATCAACGAGTAATATTGACAATAAACTAACAGCCCACGATCAAGAGCAATGAGTAGTCAGAGGCTAGGGGCGTGGGGTTCAGCCCTCATCCCAACAGCCATACACACCCGAGCCCTGACCCGACAAACTAAAGCCCTAAAGCCCTAGAGTCTGATCATGTCTTCAACCCACGAAGCCCGCGAAGACCTCTGCCCTTTTCCTATGCAGGGCTTCTAAAGGTTTTCTCATACGCCTTCGGGCTGGGGCATGTGAGGCGGGTCGCCGTGTAAGGCTTTTTTTTTAGTCTTAAATGAAGAATCTTGGGTGGATCAGACCGCCGATTTCTGCTTTTGCCTGCGGCTTGCAGCAGCACTGATAGTAACTGTTATGGCAACCCTGATGGCAATCCTTACAGTAACCCGAAACCCCAAACCCAGCTCACCTTTACTCGTTCTTTCTCCGCTTCTGCTGTGACTGCAGCTGGAGCCTCGCATGGGCTTAACCACTAAACCTCTGTCTTGTCGCTTTGGTCAGGGGTGATGAATGCAACATATGCAGCACAGAGATGTACCACAAAGTCTTGTCAGAGGCCTGCTCCCTCGTAAACGATTGTTGGATGTTCCCTTGGAACAAGCACCTCTAAACGGGATCTAAAAGCAACCAATTGGAAACTGTGTGGAAAGTGGCCTTGACACTTTCGAGGTTCGGCATCTAGGCAACGGGTTAAACAGGTCAACATCGGATCTCAGGCTTTAGAACTTTAGGTTCAGCATACAGGGGGTCTGAAAGCATTTCCATCCATGATGAATGATGCCTCTGATGCTGACTCCCTTATCACGACCCCTCACAGCCCAGAGCCTGAACCATACAACAAAACAAAATTCGGTAACACCAACACCTGCACCCCAATCCGCAGGGAGCTCTCTTGCAAGCCGAGCACCAAATGAAGTTGCAGGCGTGAAACCACGAGAGGTTTGCAAGTATCTCAACCTTGTGCTCTGCGGCTCAGCATTTCGGGGACATGAGGGGTGTCTGAACACTTCGGGGGCCTCTTTCAAGGATGTCCCTGTGCTCTAGAACCCTGACATCTCCACATCTCCATGTGCGTTCCCGCTGAAGCCGATCCCTTGAGAAGATGTCATGCTGCTCTGTGTTACAGTCGCCCCTGCATGCTCTGCATGCTTTGCTGGCAGCGTGTTTGGGTTTTGCGCAGTGGTCTGAGACACCCGGAGGGAAGCCCTCGGATGCGGACCATCCTCTCAATCAAAATCTTGTTTCGGCTATTGAGTTTAGGATGAAAGTTTGCTCCTTGAACTTTAGGTTTAAGGTTTCGTACGAACACCGACGGAGCCGTTCAGGTTTAGATGACCTCAACGCGCCCCATCAGCCCAAAAAGCGACACAAACGGGCAGCAGCTCTAAGT